ATTTTTTTTTTAATTGACATGAACATTTGTATTTGGTGCAAAATGACATTCCCTATGAGCTTTCAAAGTAGCAAAACATTTCGAAAAGTGTCCACAATTTGTGCCACCGCTGCAACGGAACTGTTCTAAACATTAGAATCCGGGAACAATCCTCCAAGTGTGAGGAGTCCATTAGAAGTGTAACCAGCGCCAGAAGTAGATGATTTAGACGGATGTTTTGTAAAATGTTACAATGAACCGCAAAATGAAATCTAAAAGACTAATAAACGAATCTTCCCATCTACTAATCGTACTGATATCTTCTCATGTATGTAGTAGGGAAAGCTCGGAGCATTGGTTCACGTGGAAGGGACAAAAAGGCGGGTTGCTCAACGGGCAGATTTAGGCGGGGATTTTGTAAAATGCTATCTCATTCAATCATAAAAAGGGGAGGGCGTTCACTGTCCAATCAGAGAACTGGCATGTGTATATATGGCGCGGCAGTGTTTTACATTTGTTCCATTGAAGCGTCCAGAAGAGATGGCGAGAACCAAGCAGACAGCTCGTAAGTCCACCGGCGGGAAAGCTCCCCGCAAGCAGCTGGCCACCAAAGCCGCCCGCAAGAGCGCCCCGGCCACCGGCGGAGTCAAGAAGCCTCACCGCTACAGGCCCGGCACTGTGGCCCTCCGAGAGATCCGACGTTACCAGAAATCCACCGAGCTGCTCATCCGAAAGCTGCCCTTCCAGCGCCTTGTCCGCGAGATCGCCCAGGACTTCAAGACCGACCTGCGCTTCCAGAGCTCGGCTGTCATGGCTCTGCAGGAGGCCAGCGAGGCTTATCTCGTAGGACTCTTCGAGGACACAAACCTCTGTGCCATCCATGCCAAGAGGGTCACCATCATGCCCAAAGACATCCAGCTGGCCCGCAGGATCCGAGGAGAGAGGGCATAAGAGACCCATAATCCTCCATTACACAACCCAAAGGCTCTTTTAAGAGCCACCACATTCTCTTAGAGGGCTGTATATACTGTAGTGGAGTTTATCATATCTGGAGCAGTTGCACATGGCAAATAATCGGCATCTGTCTTCAGCTTCTCTGGTGAGATTTGACTAAGAAGCCGATTGGCTGCAGTGCCAGTCGGCTCCAAGTGATACTTCCCCCTTATGTTTATCAATGAATATTGCGGCAATTATGACATCAAAATATAAAATGCAGCTTACATTGTAAAGAGGTTAATGACATTGGGAGAGCAGTTCCTATCTATTAGAAGGACGGAAAGATTCCCACCTGTTATATGTCACAGTATATATATATATATATATATACACACTATTTTTTTTTCCTTTAGTAAGGTACATAGATCGACTTTGTTACAGTTCTTGTTCTATAGAGAGTCTCTAATTTTGTCTTATTCTAAATGTGTTAATGATCAGCACACACCGGGTTAACCTTGGTCTGAGGATCTCGCATTGTATCTGCTGATCCCATATGTGAGCTCACTGATCTCCAGTACTACTGCACCCGAACAATAGGTCAAAGATCTGCCGGGTCTAGACAGAGATTAGAGGACGATCTGACATTGTATGCAATCTACAGTGGATCCTTTATTCCGGAATTCCCATCTCGGAAAACAGTTATATCATCCTGTAGACTCATCACTGTCACCGATTTGGAGCCTTATAATAACGGGAGGTAAGCTAGGAAAATGGGTGGAACTTCGGCGAGTTATTTATAATTTCCCGCTCAACCAATACGTGATTTATCTCCATACTATGGTACAATGAGATTCAGAGGAGCTCCCTTTATTCCCCTCTTAATGTGTCATCTGAAGGCTGATAAACTATTTCCCTCTTAGGAGGGTCGCGTTATATAATGCAACTCTATACCGAGACTCTCATTATGAATATCACCGAATGATTCCATATTACTAGTAATACAGAATCTGAGAATACCCTATGACCTCATCTAGATTCTGTACGGTGTATACACGTCCCCCTGGTCGGTGTATGTATGTGGAGCTCTTTTGAGAAAAGGTGGGTGGCTCTGAAAAGAGCCTTTGGGTATTGTTGATGAATGGAGAAGCTCCGTCTTATCTCTTCTTGGGAGCCGCCCTCTTAGGCTTGGCTGCCTTCTTAGCCGGACTCTTGGCTGTCTTGGGCTTCGGCGCCTTCTTAGCCGGACTCTTGGCTATCTTGGGCTTCGGCGCCTTCTTAGCCGGACCCTTGGCTACTTTTTTGGAAGCAGCCGGTTTCTTGGGGCTCTTGGCTTTGATTGGAGCTTTCTTAGGTGCCGGCTTCTTCTTGGGGGACTTTGCAGTCTTCTTGGCGGCAGCTGCATGGCTTTGATTGGGGCTTTCTTAGGTGCCGGCTTCTTCTTGGGGGACTTTGCGGTCTTCTTGGCGGCTGCTGGTTTCCTGGGCTTGGCGGCAGCCGATGGCTTCTTCACCTTTTTGGCCACAGCCTTGTCTTTGCTCTCCTGCTTCTTGTTGATCTTGAAGGATCCGGAGGCTCCGCTGCCTTTGACTTGCTGTAAGCTCCCCTTAGTGACCAAAGCCTTGAGGGCGCTCTTCAGTCGGCTTTTGTTCTTGTCCACATCGTATCCTGCGGCGGCCAGAGACTTCTTGAGGGCGGACAGGGAGACACCGCTGCGCTCTTTGGAAGCGGCCACGGCTTTTAGGATGAGCTCGGACGCGCTGGGTCCGGCCGGCTGCTTGCTGACTTTCTTGGCTCCTCCGGCTTCTGCCCCCTTCTTACTCGGCTTCTTCTCGGCGGCGGGCTCCGCTAGAGGAGCGGCGGCCGGGGCGATCTCAGTCTCGATCATGATGCTATAACGAGTCTTAGAAAACGATAAATGTTACGCTCGTAGCACTCTGGCTTTATATAGTGACGTTCTGCGCTGCTATTGGTTGGTACGGAGCTCGCAGCTTGTCCAGCTATTGGTCCCTCATCAGACACGCCCACTGACTGACACGCTGCAGTTGGGGAATCTTCTCTCTCATGTTGTGTTTCCCTCATACAGAGAAAAACGATTTTTATATGAAATAGAACGATGTCCGATCTTTTTTGGGGACCCGATCTGATCGCTGGACTGTCACTTATCGGGGTGTCACTTACAGCTGTCAGGAGCTGCTGAGGAGGCTGAACACAGAGGCGGCAAAGCCAAGCATCCTCCTGAGTGGGGGTCACATTCTTCCTTCTACCTTGTTTTAGAGACGAATAATAAACATGAAATCATCTTGTCACATCTCCCACTAGAATGATCTTCACATTAGTTGAGTGAAGAGTGATCATCAGGAAACATTTCCCTATAATACACAACTCTAGCCATCTATAGGTGAGGAGAAGGAGCCTGGAACAAAAACATCAGGCGGTGACATGATGAGAGCCTTGTGTTATGTGATGGGGAGATATCATTCTAGATACAATGTGTCTGCTGAGTATAAAATGTCATGTTTAGTGTCCTATGTATCATTATCTGACCCCCCTGATCAATATATTGTCATCTGAAAATGTTGGATAAGATTATTCTCATATATTGCTGTATAGATATGAAGTGTCCTTGTATAGAGCAAATACATAATTTTGCAAAAGACTTAATCCCTCATAATTGTATCTCTCATGGTTTAAAGAATCCTGATACATGTTTAACAACTCACAACTGTTCAGTAGATTGCACTATGGTCTATGGGGGGTGAAACCTGATACAGAAGTTACAGGGCTAATAAGGGGCAGGTTTCTGTCTAGGCCACAAAAGCCATGACATAGAGTGCAGTGGCGGACAGGGGAGGCACACAACCTTCCAGGAGATCGTGGCTACTCATATTTATAAGTTTACAGAACCTATCTGCCCCCTCCCTTCTGCACACTTGTATCTACATGCCCAGCTCCTTAACCAACCAGCCAACACATCTCCAGCTTCCTCTGTGACCCTGTTTGGGTAGCAACACTGCGGACACGTTTTCTTATGTTATCTATTCATGTATGTTTTCCGAAATGAGCAGAATATAACAAGGTATTAACATTTGATGAGTAGAAAAAAAAAGGGGGGCAGGAATATTACCCAGTATCCCTTGGGTATTAGGAAGGATTTGTTTTCCATCCGTGGGGCAATTTGAACCATGCTTTTTATTTAAGTGTGTGTGTGTGGGCGTATATATAAATATATGTGTGTCTTTATTTAGGCCTTTCTCTGGATCAGATGTGGGCATATAAGGCATAGGGTATATACATATATGTATATAGGAGGGAAAATACAAAAGTAAAGGCAAATTATAAATGATCCGGTAACCATAACGGAGAGAAGCTTGCACAATGCAGTATAGTTACATGTTGGATAGTTCAGCAATGCACAGTACAGACAGGGTTTGGACTTTAGTTGAGTGGTAGTCAATTCCCTGATTATATGAGACAATTAAGATCCTTGCAATAATTGTGTTGTCTTTATGTGCTGCTTTGCTTTTGGTATATATTCACATGCATGCATATCTACGCACATTTTTGGTCATAAAGATTATGTTTCATATTATATATATATATAATGCCTAAGGCCTAGTACAGCTTGATAAAAACAGATCACACAATGGTAAAATTACCTGCAGAAAAATAAAGCCTTTTTTAAGCTACAGCAAGTCATGTAAAAGTGGATTGGGTGCTGCTTCTGTCTATAAGCCAAGCTATATGTGCAAGAAAAAAAACAATTCCGCTTCTACTTTTACCTACTTTTTCTTTTCTTAGTTTTCTCCTCCAACTATTTTCCTGTATTTCTTTCTTTTTGAAGTTTCTTGACCCCTAGTTGAGTGTGGGTTGAGGGTGTAGTGCTCAATAAACTCACTCAAATCCTATTTATTTTTTTAATTACTTTGCTTCGCTGTCCACCCAAAACTGACCACACCTTAAGTTGGCCTTTGGAAATCTCCAAATGTAAAAATAATTGGCATTCTCAATCACTTCTTGTGCTGTCGGCAGAGGCTGACCTAAGAAACAAAAGGCCCTGGTGCAACTATATATATTTCTAAAACTGGAGCAGACAGAATCTGCAGTAGCTGTGCATAGTAACCGTTCTGCTTCTATTTTCAGCTTCATTAGTTAAGCTTTGAAAATTAAATCTAGCAGCTGATTTGTTGCCATGTGCTGCAGCTCCAGATTCTGTGTGCTACAGTCTTCGTATATACCCATCACTGCCTCCCAGATCCAACTAAAGCTGGAGGAGTCAGAACAAAAACACTGACAAATGTCAGAATCTTTGCATTAGAGGTGTGCTAGAATCAGGGAGTGAAGCAGAGTTTAGGCTCCATCTTGTGGTTTTACTTACATTGGCCACCCCAAATGTTCCTGACATTGACTGGTTTCTTGACCATGCACATCACTCACTGGAGCCAAACATTTAGCTGGTGCACATGTAAGAAATATTGTAGTTTACTTCCATTGCTATGACAGTAAGGAAGCCCTCATCTCTACCACCCATATCAAGTTTACCATGGATGATCGAGTTGAGAAAAAACAAAATTTTAACAGTCCCTCTCCAACTACTCTTAGTAAGTGCAGGTTGATTAAACCTATCACCCCGAGCCATGCCCCCCCGCCCACATTAGTGCTTGCATTCCAGTCCAGTGCGATCTGGCGAGGGGCCTGGCTGCGGTGCAATTGACTTCAATGCACCACCACGCCCCCTCCCGCCCTGAATGCAGGTGTTTTTTCATTGGTAGATCTCATTGAGCTCGTCATTTGAAAAGTAGATCTCCAGACAAAAAATGGTGGGCGCCCCTGGCTTACAACAATCCTCCAACTGTAGTCACAGGTTTTAAAAGAAATAATAATCTCCGGTCACTCTGCACTGCTCAGGGAGAGGTACCACTATAAATATTAATGAATACATGTGCATGAGGGATGCAAAGCATTGTGGGAAAAGGAGTTTTTTTTTTCCACTCCCTACATTGTAGTTTCCACTGTACACAACAGTCTGGCAGCCATTTAAAAAAAATCAACCTGTGGAGCCTGGGAGGACAACTTACAAAACGTAAGTTGTTGTGTTTAGATCCAGGATCTGCATATGCTGGCATCATCTACACACTGTGTACATTGCTGACATATGTTTTTTAAAAAATACCCCCGCAAAGGTGGAAATGTCCTTTAACTCGGCACCTGGCTAAATCACCAAACCTATCTCAATTTATCACCCAAACCGCCCACTGTGCCCCTCCCAAGACCTCCTCCCATGCTAGTTACCAGGATTTCTTCTCCCATTGTTTGGGATCCCCACATGTCCCCCTTTTTATGTGTCTTTATTTTACTAACTCTCATAAATTGTAAGGAACATGTTGGGGTGCTAAAAGCCCCCCCTTCCCCCCTCAACAAAAGTCAAGAA